AGAACAAAAATCAGAGTAGGACACATTGCAACGAAAGACATACACGTAAACACAGGAGTTAGACAGGGAGACTCACTTACCCCTTTCATGTTTAATGTAATAATGGAAAAAATCATGGAAAATCTTCCTAGAGCGGCTGGATATAAAATGGAAAGTATTTCCTTCCATGTCGTATACCACGCTGATGACGCGGCTCTTATTGCAGATTCCGAAGAGAATCTCCAAGCAAAAGCAAAAGAACTTATTATTCTAAATTATAACTAACTAACTCTATAATTATAACACCGAAAATTCGAAATGTTTAGTATTATCACAGGAACCGATAGGCTGCAAGCTGGAAATAGAATCCAAGATCGTCGAACAAGTAAACCATTTCAAATATTTGGGAGCAGAGATAACGAGTCATCATGAACGTCCACCTCTCGAAGTAAGAGAGCAAACAATGAAAGCGGCTCGAATGTAGGAAGGTTTGAGCGAAATTGTTTAAAAAAACAAATACCTAAATACGGAAAGCAAAGTCAAGATATATGAAACGGCAGGAAGACCTATAATAACATATGCAGCAGAAACAAGACCAGGTAAAAGCAAAACTTTACACATGATTAGAACAGTTGAAATGAAGACCTTAAGGAGCATACAAGGCAAAACTCTATAAGTTAGAGTACGAAGTGAGGACATCAGAATGCATTGCGGGATACAGGACATAGGAAGATGGTCAGACGGAGAAAAATATTCTGGACCAAACATGTAGAAATAATGGAGGATAACAGACTCTTCAAAAAGGCAAAATTGAACAATTCAGTGGGAATAATACTACAGGGAAGACCACCAAAGCGCTGGAGAGAATGCTGGACCTCATTCTCCAAAGAGGACGTTGGCAACGAACAGGCAATAGCCTACTAATGTTTCCATATTAGGAAGAAGGAGAAGAAGGAGACGATATTTATAGTTATATGTCTTACTAACTCATTCTTTACTGATTAACTTTTCTCACATTATTTTCAGATTTATTTTCCCGACCCTTTGGCGTTGTTTATATTAAAACCTTGTTTTTGAAAGAGGAGCTAATTTCCTAAACATAATTAATTGTGTGTTATTATTGTAAAATTAATGATGCCTTAGCTACTGAATCTCGGAAAGCTACTACGACTTCATTCACGCAATATCGAGAAATACAGCACTAGCCCAGATAACATTCAACATATTTATCCTGTTTGGGAAAAGTAGTATTTTACTTTCGTTTTTTTTTCCTATTGATTGGCAAATCAATATCGGATATTTTTATGGAACGGATTTTGTATAATATTGAAGTCAAAAGATATTGCAAGTTTCTGACAAACAAGTTTAGGACGGTTCTGTTTCGAAAAATTTTGGAAACGCGTCGATAATTTTTTTCTGTAAAACCAACTTTCATTTGGTCATCTGATTTCTGTGACTATTCCTTAAAACGCTGTTTGGATGGCTATTTAAAAAACCAGCCGAAAGAGGCATATTTTTTATGATCGATTTTAATTTTCTTTTTACAATTTTAAATCAAATATATTTGATATTATCGCAAGTATGGATTCGTCTCAAAATTACAGATCCTAGTAAAAATTCGTCTAACGTGTATGCCAATCTTATTTACGGTGTCTTTTGCAGGACGTAACCAAAGCGACTTATTTTCTTGGCGCTTTGATGTAACATGCGGCAGATACCATGCGGTTATATGGATATGTGTGCTAGTTACAATTTAATACTTCGAGGTCATCAATTTGACATGTTTGTTTTTATTGTTTCTTGAACGGGACGACAAGTTGCAAGCGGAGCCGAATCGAATTGGGTTCAATTTCAGCAAGCAAAGTTTCAAGATCTCCGACGAAACTAACGTCAACTATTATAACTATCAAAGGGGTATGATCATGATCCGCTTGCAATAACCCAAACAAGGTAAACAGTTATTCCTTGTTGCGGTTTAGGGTGCTACTCGATTCCATTCGCCCATGTTTTCCAATTTTAATTTTTGTGGTTATTTTGCACAGCTTGTAACGATTTATGGTTGACTTACTCTGATGTCTGATTATGATTGTACGTGCTGTTTTGTATTGTTTTACTTTATTTTTAATTTTTTACCATTGTTGACTGTACCGTATTTATCATATGTTGGAGCATTTTGTTTTTTATAGATTTGTCCATAAAATTTGGGAATTCTTTTGTGGCAATAAAGCATATATTGATTTGATTTCGACTTGACGATTGACAAAAAGTCGATATCGGTCTTATGAAGAATGATACTAAGACACACTTTATAAGGAAAAAATATAAAAAGTACCCAGGAAGGTGTAACATATCTCGGTATACAAACAGTTTATTCCCGATAATTAATACCATGTCAGCAAACATAAATAAACGAGGAAAAGCACGCAGCGCCCAAGAGATTTGCTTTCTAGGACATGTGCACATTAAGAATATCTATAATTCAAAGACCAAGTTAAATTAAATTGCGTTAATATATAGGTCACTATATATGTGTCTAGGTCGTCTGAACGTATAAAACTATTTCCTTATGAACCATTCCTGCCTGACCTCATTTTCCAGATTAACGGAAATTCACGCTTTAGTTCTTCAGCATATAAACTATTTAATTTCCTTGTTATAACTCAATTTGAAATCGACCTAAGAAAATATTCAATTAAAATTAAAATGATATTTGCTTTTGGATGTATTTTCTTAGTACCTACATAGTTAATGAAATGTTCCACTAACTTGATATAATTTGCTATTTACATATATGGCTTCTTTCGTATCTTTAAAGCGAAGCATATCTTGTACTTTTTGGAAATATCAGAACCTTAAATGCCCTTGAATCATCAAGTCAACATAGTGCAATTCTTTATCTATATTTTGATTTGTTTTCCGAACTGCGTGTAATTGTTATCATATTTTTTTTCCTGGATTTCAGTCAAAATGTGAATTGAAAATGTTCATATTGTTTATTTCATATTACGTTTCGGCTAGACAACAGCGCCATTATCAGATTTATCAGATATCAGATTTAATTTAAATTAAAAACTGAATTATTGTCCTTATTTATTATTACCTTTATATTCTAATGTTTTACTGCTTCTATAATTCGCTAATCATTTATGTATTGTAGAAAAGTTTTTTGAACAAATACTTCTAAAAAGTAACGTAGAAATTGCACATCATAGAGAAAATATATTTATAGGTGATTGAAGTGGATTTGAAAAGCCGCCTGTTAAAGATCTAAGCAGAACTATTGCTTAAAAAAACCGCAAAGTTCTTGGTTCTTGTCATTGAATCGAAGTAATGGCAAACATAAAGTTAAATTCTAGACCTACCTGCAGGCGCTCGGTAACAGTAATTTTTTTTAAAGGAACTCAATGGCAGAGTACTTTGCCAATCGTAAATTTTTAATCAAACAACATCTCGATGCTCCTCGTTTTTGTAGCAGGTCTTCAAGGTATGATGTGATTTCTAATGGCTTCTAACTGTTCGTCATCTATTAGCTTTTTTGACTATTTCTATTATTAGCTTAATTATAATTTTTTTGCATGAGCTCATGTTTTGAGCTTCTGAATAACACCCTTTATTGCCGGTAAATCCAAACCAGCTGATTCGATAAACCTGCAGCTACTGTTACCCTCCAAATCCGATAAAACAGTCAAATAAAAATGGATTAAATATTATTATTGTGTGTTAATAACTTATTTGAATAAAATTTTGTTCTGGCGAATGGTTTGAAGTCAATTCAAATACCCAAAGTTTGCTGCTCTTAAAATTCAGTCCTCTCGTTTAATGTAGACTGTTAATACAATTTATATCTTCCTATTTTAATTTGCTGACAACAAAAATGCGTTAGTTATATAAGTACGTACGTAGAGATACTTACAACACTCGTGTTTTTACCAAATGCTTCTATAGATGTTAGGGGTAGAAACATGCGGATTTCGCTTAATTTCTCTAATCCAAAGTTAAAATTAAGAAATTGAAAAAAAAAATAGTGGGCAATCTTAATGAAGTCTTGTTTTGGAAGAGTTTAGGGCGTGAGAAATAAAAATTTGTAAGCTAATAAAAAGCTCACGTTTTCCATGCACATTGAATGTGGAACAGAGATATGCGAATACTATTTAAAATGCCATATTTTTTTAACGCCCAGTATAACAATTATATATGACAAGATTTGTATGTAGACACATGTTTTATGCAGAAAAAAGGGTTTGAACTGATGGACCCAAGCCATCAGTTCCTTGTCGTTTCTTAAAATATTTACTGCATTTTCAACCAATCATCTTCATTATTTACGGGCATGAATATAATGGAGTTTAGAGCCTCCATAAAAATGATCGAGTGGAGTTAAATCCGGTGAGAAGGGTGGCCAAATTCACGGAGCAACATCTAATCATCAATGTTAACGGAAATCACTTCGTATATTTAATAAAAGAAAACAGTTAAATCAAGTACAGTATTAAGTGCACGATTTATTAGCTAAAATTGCATTTCAAGCACTAGGCATCGAGTGAGCTTTAAAATTCAAATATCTTAAGTACGAATGCCTGTTTTTTTCGTAGATTTCTATAAAGAGACGTGTTTTATCAAAAAACGTTTGAAGAACCGTCCCCTAAAACCTTCCAATATGAGATTTTGCTCAGATAGTAACACGTTACTACTAAAGAAAAAAATGAAATAATTGTTATTTATTTATTAATATTAATTTTGACGCTTTGTATTTCCAGAACAGTCCACTTTTGAATTAGATAAAATATGTTTAATCGTCATGTGTTGACCTCAGCAATCAGTGGTAAGATTTTGTAAATCTATTTTAGATACACCTTCTGTATTAGACGCAATATAAAACTAAATTACAACGACATTTGAATATAAATAGTACATTTTTTTCATAATATTTAAATAACAATTTCGTCAGTTTAATGCCTTTTCAACTTTCCATTGCTGCCGTGCTCAAAAACATTGCAAAATCGGAAATGTGCGATTTATATTCAAAACAGTAATTTCCGTTTTAACTAGACCGTTATCACCACATAATGATAAACACCCACATATGTATGTTCACTACGCCAAAAGGATTAATGTACGATATTCCTCAAATGCTTAACTGACAATACAGTGTCCTATTTAATGAATCGGCGGAAATCGATTTGAAATCAACAGGAAAATAGCGAAGTTTCGAAATGTATGTGTATTTTAAGTGAATATTAATCAATTTTGTAAGTAGAACTGTTGCAGATGTTTTACTTTTTTGTGTCTAGTATAGTAACATAATCTTGGTTCTTTGCCAAATATTTCGGTTCATTAAATTTGTTTAACTGTTAAAAGTGTGATAACTAAAATAAGTATAATTATCTGTACAACTCCATTAGTTTTTCCTTTTTTTTTTGTTTGGCTTAACTGACAAATCTTAAAATGTTTTGTCAATGTGTATCGGCATATAATATGCAATAACAGTTAACTGGAAATAAAATTAATATTAAATATAACGTTCAATGTGGACAAATAGCCGTGCTACTTATCTGTCCTTCTGAGCAAAATTTCAAATTAATAGCAGCGTAAATTAACCAAAATATGTTTTGAATTGATCCTCAGCTATAAACCACATTTTCACCAGAGGTCAGATGGGAAACAGACAAGAATACCAAAATTTAATTATTTAAATTAAAGTGAATTGATTCGTTTATCCATTTTCTCAGGTCTATCCGACTCGCCAACTTTGTATAGATACCCTCAATGCACAGAGTGATAATCAAAATAAATGTATGAATTTTCCGTTTATTCTACAGGACGGTTCTGAAATGTAAAAATACATTTCTAAAGATTTGAATTGAAGAGTTTGTTTTGGGAAGTGTTTTTCTCCTAAGACTTTTTGACCCAATGATGCTTAAACACTATTCAACCCAATACACTCGATCAAACTTCAGAGATGGTTTCTGCAGACTAGACAAAAACTTCATATATTCGTTTTGAACGACTTCAAATGCYAAAGTAACTCTTGCAAACCAAATTAGTTTTTACTGGCACTTCGTCCACCAGACACATAAAAMATTGAATTGTTGAATAACCTGATGAAGCAGCCTGTGGTAAAATGGAACTCTTGACTGATCGTCGTCTGGAGTTAAATCTTGAGATACTTCACATGGCAAGGAACTTTATTTACATTCATTCTATAGTTGCAATCAGCAATCCCTATACCCGCCTGGGATCTGTACAGATATTAAAGAAAAGACGTAAAATTACATACTTTCTAATTCAGTTTTGCAAATTGCATAAAAATGTGCGTTCATCTTGAAAAAGTTCTTTTTATTTATTCCTTGCAAGTTGTTCCAATTTGTTAATAATCTACTTCTTTCAGGAAAAGGCTGCCGAGTTTCAAATAAATATATCCAAATCTTTGGAATGTTTAAGAAAAAATTCTGTCAGTTTTAGGAATAGCAATGAAAAGGCGAATCAAAAAATATAGTTAACCTTTGAATAAACTTTACTAATTAAAAAATTCTGAAATTTTTCAAATACGCCTTGATATGTGAATTTTAGAAGTCTTCTTATGGAACTTTCGCTTGTTCTATTTGCATTGAAAAAACACGAGTTTATAAAATCTTTTTTAAACAGTTTTTTTTTAATATCTGTATGTGTGCTGCTTGAAACAGTGTGCGTTGAGAGTTAAGAAGAAATATTTTAATGATTTGTGAGTTAAATAGATTATCGGCAGAGTAGTCACCAAAAATGAAGTGGAAGTCTATTAAGGATTTATCGAGATAAAGCTATAAGCACAATATTCCGTTTAGTTTAAGAACGAGTAAAATATATTCATTGCTCCTGAAAAAAAAGTTGGGCGCTTTTACGCGTTAGTTCGAGCCTCTTTATGATCACTTACTGCTTTTGAATACAAAGTAGGTACATATTTCTTCCTTTACGGATTTCTAAATTAATACGTTATACGTGTAAATGCCGTCCGTAAATTATTTCAGATAATATTTAATTTGTGAAAGAAAACGTTAAAAGATTCTTGGTTATTTTTTACGATGAAAAATGTATGTTTTTACTTGATTGAAAAGGAAAAGTGTGAACAGCAATGCTTCACGGCAAGTAAAATTAATCCATAATAAATCTAAAGGTTAATAAACCTGAATTCGTTTCCAAATGCGACGGATGTTATTACACGATCCGCGCCAAACTTTCAAGCCCCTTGGCAAAGGACATAAAATAATTGCGTTTTTTGTCTTCGTTCGTTTTTGATGTCAGAAGTGTAATCATTATTGATCCCTTTTTTGTTGGTAACACATTATGTGTTTTACTTCCGAGCACATATCAAGAGATATTCATTTTGGGATCATTTATTTCTATTTTGTGATAGAGTAATTGATTCGTATTGTTTTATTTTTCATAAGCCTCAACCATAAATTGACCTATACAACCGTATGCAGAATAGTCCATGGGTTTACCCTCGATTCAATTTGTTGATGGCACAAATTAATTGCGTTTGTAATACACATGTTGGGCTTTTTTTGTTATGTATATTAATTAATTTTAGTAGAATATAGAATAATAAAAACACAAATGCAAAATTCAATTAATTGTATGCAATTTGAAGCGTACGGATTAAATGCAATCTTTGTCCCATTTTGATAGAACTTGTGTAAAATTATTCATGGAGTAATAATATTGCGAATAGTGCTAATAACAGTGATATCCGCTTAAAAAACATTAAGAAGTAATGCTTCGTCAATAAAAGAGGACTGGTAATATTTTTTGAAACGTGCAGCTTTTCTTCACAAGTTTTGGTTTAAATATACACGTTTACAATATTACAATTCCGATTGTTGCAAAAACTTACTTAGCGGTCTAAGCGTGTAATCTTTGCGTTTCTAACAATTCTCGATAAACCGAGAGTAGGCTTCATCTTAGTTATTGTACGTGGAATGGAGGCAATTTGTTTCCATTAACAAATAAGCGCATTCTTATTATAGATAGAACATAGCTCTTCAATGTTCAATCATTGATAGGTATTATGTTTCCGACTCTTAAAATGCAATATTTTTTGGTTATTAGCGATTTGGCATACTTTACTCAGTTATAAAAGTATACGTTTAATAGCATTAAACCGGGCGGTCATGGTGGGCAATAGTGAGCACCATTATTGCCAAATCAGGATCATTAAATATTTGGTCTATCAACTTTACCACGTGCGTGAATGGATAGATATGAGATGGTTGACTCAAGATATTCTCCCCTTCTTAAAAATATATACAGAAGCGATACCTTCCGTGTCAAAATTACGGAAGACTAGAAACCGAAAAAGTTCCAGTTAACGGGGGAGTTCGCCAGGGTGATCCTAGAGCCCCAAAACGTTTTACGTTGGCCTTGGAGACGTTTTAAAAAGCTAATTCCGCTTCGCCGATGACATAGTGCTTACTAATTCAGATATCCAGGATATCTATCTTAAGCACGTGCTAAAACCACTAAAGGAAGCTGCAGATAACGTCGGACTAAGAAGTAATTCATCAAAAACAAAAATAATGAGCAGGATGAGAAAAACATAAGAATAACAGGCAAAACTTTGGCAAGAATAACAGGCATGGAAGATGGTACCTTACAGCGAAAGACAGAACAGCATGGGAGCAAATTTAAGAAAGCTTTGCTCAGAAGTGGATCGATAATGGATGACAAAGAGAAATAAGAAGAAGATCCTCACCACATCATTCTTTGTGTGAAGTGGCGCTGAAGCCTGTTGGTACTGGGAGCTAATTTTGATGATGTGAGCAACTTTGGTCTTAAAACTATTAATGTATCCGTCTTCTTAAAGTGTTCATTATGCTGTTGCCTAGAACACTAATTTTAATGTTTTTGTAAATTCCATTTGTTAAACTTTGAAAATCGATATGTGCCAGAGTGACTTCGCTGTTTATTAGGACCCATTAAAAATTGAAACTCTATGAATGTTGGAAATTTTTTTTCGAGTTGATTTAGGGTTTGAGTCGCTCCAGCAATAACATTTTCTTTGTGCAAATATTTATGCAATTCTATCAGAACCATCTCATTCTCGGAGAAAAAAAATATTCTTGATGGAGAAATGAAACAGACAAGACGAGAAAAAAATATACATATATCATTTTGAAATGTTATTATACAGGCGATAAGTCAGTACAATTTGAGCGAGCTACAACACGGGTGAACTGAATATTTTAGAAATTAGATGGAATCGGGTTTCAGTCTCAGCAAATTGTATTAACCTGAGCTATAATGTAGTAACCTGATCAATTAAATGTTATAATGCGCCGAAAGTATAGGTAGGATTTCAAAGTAACTAACACTCAATGTCCTAAACACTCAGAAATATATCAGTAGGCAGGAAAAAAGAACTTATTTTCTCATACGGAATCACCGGATTATCACTTTGATGCTTATAACACATTTTACATTTCAAATGTGGCAAGGGAGAATATGGAAACTAATAACTTCTTGCTAAATGTGCTTTAAATGCAGATATCACTTTTAAAAGCTTACATTAAATAAAACCTGTTTTTTTTCTCTAGTAGTTCATTGCATGAAAACGTTATTTAACTATGCTCTGTCTAAAATCTGATATTCTAAATGATAGTCTAGTAACAGAAGTAGATTTTTGTTAACGCTAATAAAAAAGTTAAATTTCAGATATTTCAGTAATATTAGCTACACCAGAAAAAATATTAAACACTTAAACATGCCAATATTTTACCCAAAAACGCTCTAGAAAACTATAACTAAAACAATAATCAGTTCTTGTTAAATGTGTTCTGGTATTTTCCTATTTCATGTTTTGGGTTACACACGGGTAGTTTTCTGATAATTCTCCATTTATCTTATCGAATGCAAATATGTATACATTGTTAGCTTTATGTAGCACAGGTAATTGTTGTCGAATTAAGCTTGCTTGGGTGGTAACTTATGGAATATGGAGTAAAGTTTTTACTGATATATTATGCCGCATTTGCACTCTTACTACCTACAGATTATATGAAATATTAAATTTTCGGGTAGGAGCTTACTAGAGTGTGTAATAGTATAATAGATACTCAAATATAATAAATTAAGTAATGCTGTAATGGACACTTTGTAAAATATGGCCGATTATTTTAGAGCTTTTAATATTTTTTACAAAAAAATACTATATTAGGTGTTCTAATTCCAAAATTTATGATGGTCGAGAGTATATAATACGGTTCTGGCTGTAATGTACATTTTTTACTTAAACTCGCTTTATTGATGTTTAAGTTGCATGTAAATTTAAATAAGCAATTTTCAACAAGATATCAAATCCCAATTTTAAGATAAGTATAATAAATACATTTGAGCCTTGTTGACGAAAGTGTGAAATTGAATAATAAAGAAATTATGGGATCAGTATTTCAATGTGAAAAGCAGCATTCACATGAAGGCAGTTCGGTTCAATGAATAACGATTATTATCAATTAGACATAAAGAACAAAAAACTTTTTTTAATAAATGTTTTTCTCTATGTGGAATGGTACATATATATCTACTATTCCTCAGATAAAATACTAATGAGAATTATACCATATCTTCATTCTTTTCAGTTTTATATATTGTTAGCTGTCAGTTAGTGTAAGTTCTCGTAGGCTTTAAACTACATTCGGAACAATCACAAAAATGTTGTTCGGGTTTGAGTTACACCTTAATAAAAACCAGGTGTATGTTGCCGGAAACGAGAACGATATCAAAAACATTACGAGTGTCTGGTCATTGAAATAAAAAAAAGTAAAATAAAGATCATCCCATTAACTTAAGAACACCAAATTTCATTCCAAACAAAAAATAATCTTGGCATCTTGGTAAATAAGAACAAAACACTTAAAACGTGCGTATCTTAATGAAGCGTTTACAATAAACTTTGAATTTCTCATGGTGAGAAATAATCAATGAGCTGCAGTGGTCATTTCATATGAAAACGTGAAGGAAACTGATTTTGGTCATAATTTAATCAAGGAATTATATTTTCATCTAGTTTTTCAAACATTTTCTGCGTATTTTTTTCAGATGGATTAAATTTAGTATGCTAACCTTACATATAAACGTTCTTACTACATTACATATTTAAACAGAAAGTAACGTGAACCTTTATATAAGAAACTTAACTTCAATATCCATTTTGGTTCACACTGTATTTTCATCAATTARAATTASTGTTTAATGTAATATAGTTTATACGGATTTTCCGACAAATTAGCAAACGACATTTAAATTTTTATATGATTTTTGACACAGTTAATCATGTTTTAAATTCGTAGAATTACTATAGATTGGGAACATTTCCCAATTTTTTATTAGGTAAAATATTACATCAAACACAACTTTCTATTCTCGCAGAACAAGAGCACGTACGAATAAAAAATTGAACAATTTTTCATACTTTAAGTAGACAACAGAAGAAAAATGTGCAGCTCTATCCGAACACAATCCAGGCCGAATATCATCAGTTGACCCACTTTCCTCAAATAAGAAAAGCATGGACTCGGAAAGGCAGTTTCTATGTCCCCGATTGATTGATTATCTTACAATAGTCGGGGCGAAGCATACACCTTCATCTGTTAAGCAAAATGCAAGTCCACATATTCAGGTAAGTCATTTAACATGTGTCCGATATGTATGGTTTCACATATATTATTAGCTTTTATTAGCTGCATTATATAGCTAAGATAAATAGGGGAGAAATTTCTTTAAAAACCAGTAAGCCTCATAATGGAGTATTATTTTCTTTTAACAACTTCAACATGAATTTAACTAGCTTTATACTCTTCAGAATGAACATATTTCAGACTGAAGAACAATTGCGACAAATTATTAATGGAGATGTTAGATTGATGAACTATTACTTATTAGGCTACTATTCAATTGATGTGTTTTATTTTAAAATACATTTTTTCCATTTTTTGTAGTTTTCAAAACCTGCCTAGTATCGGAGTGTCGTGCTTATCATATCGATGGTTAAGTTCCATACGGCAACAAGTCAAAAATGATTGCTTTGAAAAATTCAATGTTAAAGATTACAGATATTTTAAAATTGTAATAAACAACAGACTAAAGTCTGATTAATTTTATTATTGTGAAATTGTTGTCAGAAGACCGTCTTATAACAATGATAGGTCATAAAAAGTACTTGTTTTAATAATTTTAAAGACGTTAGTAATGATTTTGTGACTTGTTGCCGTATGAAGCTAGTAATTAGGCGCCTTGTCCACTTTGTTTCCTATGTTGAAGTGCCCGTCTTTTAATCAGTAAGATACAGATTTATTGCTTTTTTATATATTTTTTTTGTTATAGAAAACTTTTAACTTATAATTATACGCGGTAAATAGACTAGTCTGTTCACAATCATCCTGCAAACTATCTAACTTAAACCACATACTTTTCTAATCGGAATCACTATTATCTGCTGTAGCTGTTGTTAACGTACAGGGTTGCTCGTTATCAAAAGTCGAGTATTGACTGGGAATTGTATTACTGTTACACAAATCCACCAAATCCTTTTTTTTTGCTTGCGAAATTTCAATGTGTGCTTTATACACCTTAGGTGGTTATCAATTGGTTAGGTTTAATGTTGCTATCATGACCTCGTCTAGTTTTGTGGCGGACATCAATTTCACTAAATTCATTTTCTGAACATGACTTTTTATCAGGAAAATATGGTTTCAAGCCAAACCTAAAAGTGAAGCGATAATATGGTATAGTTTAAAAACAAATCCAAATCAAATGATCAAATTTCAATACTATGATTTATTTAATATAATCGTAATCTCATAACAACAATAACATATATGTTTAAATATTTTTGTACTTATCACATATCTCTCGGATTTTGCGGGATTTTCTGAAGTTTTGCAGCAGACTAAGTACGTTTCCCATTTTGTTCATTTTCAGTCCAATTAAGCGCCTCCAAAGTTAGTTGTCTACCCGTTACTCCAAACGATTTTTCGATTCAGCTATTCCTAAAGCTGTAAAAAGATTAACTTTAAGCCGACTAGTCTTTTCAGTTAAATGGAAATAATAACGAAGGTCATTTGAAATATTTATGTAGTAAAATGATGATTCAAAAAATTTTTAGAAACATTTAGTAAGAATTCAATTTACTTAACAGGTTGAGAAAATTGGGAAATCGTTGTAAAATTAGACAAATTCTGTTGAACTAGCTGTACTTTGGTGTAACATGTGAGTAAATGATGTCTTGGAATGTCTACAATAACTAAAATTAAAATTTAAGCGAAAGGTAATTGTTTAATTAAATCGAATAAAATAATAGCCAGTTAAGTATGAAGAAAACTACACACTTTCCAGCTGTTGAAAAGTAAAGTATATTAAGTCAATATGTGTGTTGTTGACTAACAAATTGTGACCGCACGTAAAAGTTGGAGTATTAAAGTTATACGGATAAAATTATTGTCAGTGCGTCACGTTCCATTGTGGTATTACATAATAACAAGTCCCACGTGGCTTGAATGTTTTGTTAAATATGCAGAATAACTCAGATGCTGAATACATTTCGTCGGCCAGTTTCAATCTGTTTCGATAAAGAGAGGTTTTGAGCGGAACATATAAAAGATCAATATAGAATTAAATAGGTCATTTGGTCTGCCGGCGAAAGTGGGATACAAACTATATCAAAATACAGAAAATTGTTATAGGTTGGATAATTATACGGCGTAACAGGTGCTAGAGAAGAATTTTCGTAAAATAGAGTATGAAGGCCTTTCGAGGCCACTCAAAGTTTCGGTGGAAAAGTTTTTCGACCTTATAGGTGCCGTGTGCAATTAGAATTGCCTTTCTGCCGTTTCTTTGTCTTGTGGATATAGCTAGCCGCAAATTGGACAAAGGGCAAGGGTAGATTGTGGGTGTTTAGGAGTTTCCAAATCAATCTCTTGTGCCCTACGTTGTTGAACGCTTTTTCTATGTCTAGGGAAATGACTAATGAATTAACCTGGCTGCTTGCTGAACGGAATCATGCTTTTGCATGAAACCGAACTGCTCCCGAAGGATTGCTTGATTTTGGGAGATTAAGTCATTGAGGATAGGGTGAAGAGGAGGCTGATGGGTCTCTAGTTTTGGGGAAAGGTTTTGCTGTTAGTGGGTCTGGGGATGTACGCTTGCGGCTTCCCAAGATGTAGGGAATTTTCTCAGGGAAAAGGAAGTGTTAATTAGAGTGAGGGTTTGAATGAGGATTTATGCGCTCGGTGATTTGGAGGCAGTCTGGAGGGATTTGTCTGTGCGTTATCTCTCGGAGGATGTTGTCCACTTCCTCTTTGAAATCAATATAGTTAGTCTGGAATATGTTGGACGAGAACTGGCGTTCTAGGGAGTCGGCGAAGTCGACTAGTCGGCTGTAGTGGGCAAATGCGTTTTTCTTTTTCCTCTCACAGCCTTGGCGATGGCGATAGTGTCTCCCGTTCAGATGTTTTCTAAAAGCTTGGCCGACTTGCCGTTTTTTAATTTTATTCATTTGAATTTTAATTGTTTCGTGAGGCGATTAGCTTCTCAGTTTAGATAAGCATCGCTGAAATGCTTGACCCTGCGTTTTAGTTTATTTCCAGTTTTAATGAAAAAGAAAAGTTTTAAGGGTTTTTGCTTGAATTTTGTTTCTGAATTGTGATTTTAGCTAGGGCTGTAGATATGGATTTTGTGAATTTGTCTGTGAGGAACTTAAGCTGTTTTAACTTTTTCGGAGAGTGGTTCTTGAGGTGGTGCTACTGCAGCATTGACACTAGATAATACTTGGAAACGCTCGGGGAACGGTGGTGGTGGTCGATTGAAGCAAAAGGGGGGCGCGTTTAATTTGGAAAAATGGTTGTTTTTGTTGTTTCCTGTCGGCTTGAAGCAAATTCTGATGTAAAAATGTTTTATTTTTAACATTCGTTCAATTTGACCATTTACGTGCTATATATTACGTCACCGTGCTAACCAGCTCAACCCATATTCTCAGGCGGTTAATTCGATTGAGATTTGTCCGAATACTCTCTTTATATCCTGATTGGTAAAGCTTTAAAGTAAAGCATTCGTTCTCTATGTCGAAGTTTGCGGCGATCGCAAAACGTTTTAGCTTTCTTAGTCAAGCCTCGCTTCTGCTGTTGATGGTATCTATTATTTTGTTCAAACTGTGATAGGTAACTGTGGACTTTCTGAAGACAGCAGGAGCCAGTTTTCCATGAACTGGCCATTGGGGGCAAAATAAATTACATCAAAGCTGATGAGCATCTCCTCGTCGGTAACTTATAGCGATCTTCGCTTTTGTCCTTACCTTATTCTCTTTGCTTATATCCAAACATCCTGAATCATTCATAAAACCCTTCATGTCGTCAATTTTGGGTTTTAAGAGTATTACAGTTTAGACAGTCTTCGCAAACCACCAAATACCAAATTCTGAAATAGAGCACATGTAAATATTTCAGAACCTATAAGATATACCTACAACAGATGTGCCTTACAAATAAGGTTTAGATGTTTAAATATTTTAGTATACTTTACCATTTTAATGTATGTTTTCCTTCCACCTTGCTCAAACAAAATTTACAGAATTATAAAAATTTGGTCGTTTTGTCGTATAAGTAGTAGGTTGTTGACTACCGATATAACATTTGAGCTATTGCTTTGTGAGTAAATTTCTGAAGTAATTTAATTAGCACATGCACATCTTTGAGATTATTTATTATTAATTTTATTACTAATTTTTGAGATTAATAGAAATACCTGTTTTTTGATTAAAAAAATTTGAAAAAATTATTTTTTGGATTTTCGTAAATTTATTTTCGATTTTTGGTTTTTTTCTTCCTTTTCTTTTTTTTCTTTTCTTTTTAAAATATCTCACTAAATATCTCAAAAATTAAAAGAAACACTTGGTTTTTGAAAGCTCCATGTATATGGCCCCCTGATTGCGCAACGTTTCTATTTCTTATATTTTTTTATTATTTATTAGTTTTCGTTTTTCTTTTTATTTGTTCTACAAATGAAAATTGGTTCTTTGCATGAGACTTCGTATCCTTTACGGTTTAGAGGAGATGCTCATGCATAGTATCCGTATCTTGGAAGAACATTTCCTGGTTTATTACGCTGTTTACTAATCTGGTTCTAACAAACTCTGGTCTCACTTCTCATGCATATTACATGGACGCATCTGAGTGCCCTTGAGTGATGTAATTTTCATAACAGGGCAAGCTCTCGTTTTCAAATGTGATATTGATCCACCCACACATCCATAACATTTGTAATCATTGAAATTCCATAACATCATAACAAAGCTCGTGCAATTCGCCCCATTGTTCCTATCAATCAACTCTGTTCCAGATGTTTTATTATTTCAAAACATTTCCCGTATTTATTGCATATAAAATATGCAAATGTAGAATAGCGGAAAGTCTCAAAACTTATTTAAACAACTGCGAATTTGCATAACTGTCTTTTTCACAGGCACCGGAACTTTTACGAAGGTACCCGATACAGGACCACAAGGACTTTCCAATGCCCATAGACATGGTTTACTTTTGCCAGCCCGAAGGATGTTCTTCAATTGGACCTAAACGAACTGCTCTGAGAGAAGCATCGTCTTTCGTTTTTACATTGACTGACAAAGACTCTGGCAAAACTCGTTTTGGAATATGCGTGAATTTTTACAGATCGGTAGAAAAAAGCTCAGCAACGTTTGCTGCCAACAAAGGAAGGGCTACGACTACGATGAGGCGGGATTCATGGCGAAAAAGTATAGAGAAGAGCTCTGATTCAGCATTTTCAAGGTTGGGTTAGAAATGACAATTACACATGCATTATGCTCGCTCCAAAAAACGGTTCGCAATAGTCCACAGAAATTCGTAAACACGCGTATCGATTAGTATGACTGTGCTTTCGAGGTTTGCGGTATTTTGTTTGAAATTCCTTCGGTTAAAATTTGTCGCCACATTCTCGACTATTTTGTAGTTATATAGCTTGTAATATTACAATAGTAATGTTTTACAGCATGAATGCTTATGTAAGTCCAGCGCAAAATTTGTTTAGAAAAATAATGAACACTATAAGCATAACATTATTGCAAACACCAAAAATAGTAAACGTAAAGTCGAACATGTTTATAGAAATAAAAATTCTAAATTACGTACGAATGTTTCTAATCGGATCTACCAAAGAATTCGTTTTCATTAAGATTATGCTGGGAAGATACGCGTGTTATGCTGGAAAAACATACATGAGTCCTTTGTATGATACTGCGCGGGAGTAGAATTATTTGCGTCGTGCTGTCCTTCCTTCTCTAGTTTTCAGATTTTGGCTATCGTGTCTAGATTATTAAGAATATAAAAACGGTTCTTTATATCTCTTTATCAACAAACTTTTACAAAAAGCTATTTAGCCTTTTGTAAAATTTTTGACTAATCACAAAAGGCATATAAGCTGGTTTAAATTGTCTAGCTGCCTACTCCGAAATTGAAGTAACTGTAAAGTAAAAAAAACCAGAAAAATATTGAACAACACCGTTTTGCTAAATATCGTTTTGCTAAATACATAAATAACATATAAATATAAATATAATATAATATTTATTTACCTATTTGATGTGTATACGAAGCCAGAGTTACTTTTCTGATGAAAAACGTAAACCTTCTTTGCTAAAAAATTTAAAATAACTGCGACGACGCTCAAGACAATGTGAAAATTAATTGATAAATTCCTGTCGTATCGGACATTTTGAACTCGACTAGCAAAGTAATGTGGACCGAGAACTAATATGAGCATCGCTGATCTTCAGATTGCTTGACATTATTTTATCCATTCAAGGATTGATTTGAGAAAGCCATTTAAACTTAACATCATCTGAACGAAAACGGAATATTTGCAAAGACAAAATTCATACTAGTTTTGAATATTTCTTCATTTGGCCGTCACTTTCCGCTAGTTATGTTGCGCATCAATCGTGCATCTCTTTATAGTGACTATCGGAATGTCGGGCCAAGTGACTCTGAAAAAGAATATTCTAGTAGGCGGGACTCCGAAGCAACAGGAACAACTACCAATCTTCCTGCAACCCGATTGGCTGTCGGAGGAAATGACTCGGAAAGCGGTGGAAGTCACTCACCATCACCAAGAGCAACTAGAAGAAGACAGGTAAGAAGTCAATGAGCAGAAAGTGTTGCTCTACGACGACTTATCCGTGTTCATGTATGATGTAAGATGTTTTTACTTATTTCTAGCAAAGACATCTTACTGGCACATGTCATTGGTCTTTGCAAAGTTAATTTCTTCATATAATCTATAAATTAGGATATGAAGTACTTCACATCTTAATAATCATATAAGGTAATAAAATTTAACATGATGAAGATTTAATTGGTGGAATTGTTTTGGAGTATTTTTTTAAATCCTGTACTCTAATACACAGATGACGATAGTAAACGCGATTTAAATAGAAGGTAGAACTTTCTCGTAATATTCGATTAATTAATTGAAACACCCTGACAACTTAATCAGCAATTTCAGAGAGTTCGGAATCATTCGCTGACGTCACTCTGCATCCTCTCTCATCATCCCTTTTTCACAATGTTCCGTGAGTGTCTATTTATATTGAAGAAGTTAATTGATGCTTGCAATGAGTCATCAAACCCAAGGCGAGTAGGCGCTTCCAAGCAGACGTCCAGGTAATTTGAATATTTTTAGGGCATGTTAAATGTACAAGTTTGTAGTATACTGTATTATTTACATTCCTAGTTTGATTATGGAAAATTATTTTTCAAAAGCTTCGTATCTAAACGAAAACAGCAAAGTTTAATGAAAAGTTTCTAACTGCATACTTTCAATACAAATCGTAAAACTACAATTTGTCCCTATGATCTCAGAGACAGTGTTTGGAGTGTTCTCACTGGACAATCAAGTGATGGCGCTTCCTCCATAGTACTCCATGATGTGAAAGAAATAGAAACGTGGATACTAAAACTTTTATCTGCACCGGTGCCTATTCCAGGAAAAACTAGGTAATTATGAACAAAGCTGATTATTTACAGAAATTTAACTATTTTTTGTGATATTGTTTAGGGTTGAAGTAGAAGTTTTGTCTCCCAGCGTATACGAACCATTAGTATTCGCTCTACCGAGTCATACTCGATTTACCTTAGTTGACTTTCCTCTGCACCTTCCATTGGAATTGTTAGGTATGACATACTTTTACTAGTATCTTTATTAATCAAAATTTTGAGTTTATTGCATACTAAAACCCCCCAAGTAAATGCTCATTTATGATATAACGTCAGATGATTATTTATTACGTAATGACTAAGTATTTTAATGGAATCCTCGAAATCAATGTTTAAATATACCTACGTTCAATATCAACATGTATTGGCTTTTTAAAGTAACGAATGCTTTGAAATATATTTTGCATTGTCTTATTTGTCCATTTTGTTTAGCTATTACATTTGTTCAACAAAATGATTCAATTATTTGATTTCCACCATGAAAATTAGTCGTAACTTGAAAAGTGGTTAAAAGCCTTCCATTAAATATTAACGAACTTCCCGAATTTCATAGTGCTTGGAAAATTCATTTTTGTATTCAGCATTATACTAATGACTTACTTTTCCATTTGGCAACTCGTTAGAATATGGTTTCATTCAGCAATAAAAATTATAATGGTTTGGAAAGCAGTCATTAATAGCCACAATTTATAATAGACTAATTTTAGCGAGTTGAATATGATCGTTTTCAAAGCCAATTTCGAATAACACCTATAAATTAAATGTTCTTATTTAAGAAAGGTTATTTCAAATTTACAAAACCAAATTTACATAGCATTTACGAAACTGTATTAAAGGAAAAAACTTATTTTTGTAAATGCAAGTTTAAAGAAGGTATCTACTTTAAAAATGAACCGTTGCTCAGAAATATAATATGAAATTGTCCTCACTAAACATTAACATTTTATTGTTTATTGTAGGTGTGGAAACATGTGTGAAAGTTCTGACCATAATACTATTAGAAAATAAGGTTGTGTTTCAATCGCGAGACTACAATGCTCTCTCAATGTCTGTGATGGCTTTTGTTACAATGATTTATCCTTTAGAATACATGTTTCCTGTGATTCCTCTTTTGCCTACTTGTATGAGCTGTGCGGAACAGGTGATAAACCAATTACTATTTTAAACATGTTTTATTCACTGATAAATTCATTGTTTCAGCTTTTACTGGCACCAACTCCGTATGTGATAGGGTTACCTGTTAGTTTTCTAATGTACAAGAAGAATTTTCAGTAAGTCGTTTCCAAATATTTTTAACATTTAAATGAGTTTTCAATTATACTTTTTGTTTGATTCCTCTGATTTATTTTAATTGATATCGATCCCAGATCTGAATATCGGAACAAAAAAGAATATTTATTTACTAGTGGGTAATACGAGTAAATTTGCAGCGAAAAGCGTCATCAACATTTTTTTAAGCTCAATAAGAAATTCACGGTAGTCTGTCTTTTGAGGGAAAAAGTAGCAAAACTGCAGATAATCACTTTTTATGCAATTATAGATTGCCCGATGATGTTTGTGTGGTAGACTTGGATTCAAATAAATTAACGTCGCCCACTGAGATACCCCCTCTACCTGAACCAGAAGGACAGCAGTTAAGAAATCATTTAAAACAGGTAAATTATCTGTCAAAAAGCGTTAGCTTTGCATATGTTTTGTTTAAATTATATATTTATTTTACTATGATTATCGATTTATATGAACAACAACTGCCAAGTTTTTTTTAATGAAACCGAAAAGAACTAGCACCATTTGATCTACATTGTTTTTAGCTAATGTTATTAAATAAATTGTTTTTTAAAATTAGTTTTGACCCATTCTCTACTTAATTCGTAATTTTATGATTTAAAGGCAATGCAGCTTATGGACCAAGTTGGCACTGGAGTAACTATTTTTAATATTCTCTGTGATCTATTATTTTTGTCTGTAGGTACTCGTAGATTGTTGTGCTGCTTACATTTTTTTAGTAGAATTTTTATTCGCAATGCCATTAGTATGTTTAAAAGTGTCTCAAAAAATGTAAAATCTTGAATATTGTTAATTGCATAAATTAGCCGCGGTTAGAAAATTTATTTATATTTATTGACCTATAAATTTAGATTCACTTTACCATATTGAGTTCACTCAGAACAAGTTATCTTATTTGATTTCAAGCTCAACAATATTAAACATTAATTATACACACTACAATGCCAGCATAAAAACCTTATTGTTTTTATTTTAATTGCACTAGGATATTTTTAAACTTGGCAATTCTCAAGGTATTTTAACGTAATTAAATTGAAACTATTATTTACGCAAAAAACTAGTTTATAAACTGAATGTCATTTAAATAGAAACATTATTACTATTAACTATTACTAAAGAATAATTTCGGCGGTATCATCCGACCATACCTCGAAATTTGCACTATCTTACATGATTAACTTGATTAAATAATTCACAATTTTCCATTATTAACGAACGTATCGTGCGAGGAGATTCAAAAATGTTTTTCGAATATCTATGATTTAAGTGAGAAATGGTGCTTTTCAATTGAAATTTGAAGCAGTGCTTAGTTCTCAGTTCTTGAAACAGTAATAAGAAACATTTAGGAATGTTTTCCGGGCTTTGAAGCCGTGGTCTATCGGAATTTCTTCCTGACGTTTCGTCCACAACTGCGGTGGACATTTTCGCGCCATTTCGGCGACTGCCTTTTTTGGATGTCTTGGTGACCAGAAAAGCCAACGGAAAGCTGGCCCACACGGTGTACAGGAAACCGACACATACCGACCGGTACCTGCACAGTGGTTCAAACCATCACCCCAGTCAGAAGAGAGGAGTCATCAAAACTCACCGAAAGAGCTAGAAGAATCTGCGAACCAGCCGAGTTAGAGGGAGAATTAAACCACCTGGAAAGGGCCTTTGGTTGGAATGGATACAGTAAGAAAGATTTCAATAGAGCAATTCGACCAAAAAACAGTGAAGATCGCTCGGAGACAACAGAGACGCATGATGAGCATAAGAGTTGGGCTTGCCTCCCGTACATACATGGAGTCACGGACAGGATCGGCAAGATACTGGA